GAGGGTTTGCCCCCTCCCCCTTTACAAAGTTCAAACGTCCACTTTTTGTCCACTTTTTATCTAATGGTCCAAAATTTTTCTTGAAAAAAAAAAGGACTGATTCTTATAACCAGCGTGCTGGAGTCATAGAAAAACTGCTCATTTTGTCATTGAATAAAAGTTATGTCTGTTTTCTTTCCTTTTGAAATCGAAAAAAAACGCGAAAATTGCCATTTCAAAAGATTTAGTTTTCAAAATTTTCCGTGGGAGCATGCCCCATGACCCCCTAGTAACCTCATGCCTTTGTCGCTCGCCTCGTGCTCGCTGGTCCCTTTTGCACTGGGAAAGACCCCCCCCCCAAAAAAAAATAATAATCTGGCCATGGGCATCTGATGTAACATTACACGAGCAGGCTTTGCATAAACAATACCCTACTAACTGCCGTATATTTGATATTATGTTTAACTATATCCACCACTCTGGAATATTTGACCATGGCAATCTCATTAATGTTATGCTTTAGGTATTGGTGCGCCAGCCACTTTCATTTTATGTTTATGTTATACTTTATGTCATCTTTATGTTTACATTTGTATTATTTTTTATGAGCAGCGGATTCACATAAGCACAACAAGTGCTTCCTATCCAATGCTCAAAAATCCATGTGAATAAAATAAAATAAACAATACTGTGATGGGATTCCGGAGAACAAAACACAAAAGATACGTACCCTCAATTTGATTTGGTATGATTATCCGTGCGACCCAAATACCTGTTGAAGCGGCAAGTAATCATTACGACATGCAATGTAACAATTTGTATGGGACCCGTTAGTCGGCTACAAATGGATACAACGTCGGATACAACGTGTGTGATGCCAACATGATTTCCAGTACCGAACTGCATCTAGAGTACCCCATTCCAACTGCAACAAAAATCTATCCTAGCCCTACAGATTACGCTTTAAAAAGAGAACAATCTTGTGTTCAGTGTTGCTGAGGCCACTTTGTGGTTTTTCTGATGCTATCACCGCAGAGAAGCACCATGAATATACCGAGTTAAATTTACATTTATGACTGAGCATTTTTAAGCGCCTGGTGTGTAATTCTGAACTCCGTGAATTGTTTCATTAGGTTGGTAAATCACTGAGTAAAGAGACTATTTTTGCAAAATCAAGTAAATCGGGATCGCTGTAAATGCGTGGGTGTTTAAAGAATGTTCAAACGTGACGGACGTTGCGCTCGCCAAAGGTTTTTGTTGCGTTTTTGTCGCGTTGAGTGTTGGTAAGATATATGTTTTGCAACAGTATGCAGCATTCATATCGTGATTCATATCGTTTTCAATTGACAACACGGATAATCAGTCACACATAAAAAGTCTCCATGTGATAATACGCGCGTGTAGCACCAACGATAAGAATGTTGAGTGCGGTATTGGCAATTTGGTTGGATTTGCGACCTACGTCAGCTAAGCTATGAAATATTTTAAAAAAATACAGGATACTATTATCGTACTATGTTTTTATCGATACAATCACTAAACTAGCCCTATTTTCCCCACTATTGTAATACAGAAAATATTGCATCTTCTATCATTGCAGAACGATCGTCAAAGGCGCCATGTCCGAATGCTATATTGTTCCGTTGGCGCTGGTACTTCTGCTAATGCACACGGGGACCGCTCGAGCAGGTATTACAGTTTGCTTTTTCCCTCTCAAATTTGTCAAAGGGAAGCATGGTGTATTTTCTGATGTTGCTAGCTATTCCTGTTCGTCTCCTAATTTTTTTTCGCCGGTTACGTTTTGGCTATTGACGGGTCCATTTCAAAATCAATCTTGACAACACGCTTCTCAACATTGGTTAGGCTAATAGTATGTTAATTTGATTATATGGATGACATCCGCGCGCGCATAAATTTTTAGGTCGTGTCCAAAAAAAAGTTTTCAAGCATTCTGTAAATCGTACAAAACAGTTGCAAAATGGGCAAATATATACTGTAAGTTGCAAAAAAATATCTACAAACGACACCAATGTCGTAAAATGTCAAAATCAAACAAAAAAAAAAACAACGAAAAGTTCATGATGGAAGTAATTTTTTTGGAAAACCTTTTTTATTCGCACGCGCGCATCAGTTTTGGGGTTCCCTAAGGAGGTCATCCATATAATCAAATCAATATGGCCTTAACGTCTACCCGAGGTGCAATGTTAACCCTCCAAACACCTAAACTATTTTGCGACGGAACTTGGACCCCATTTGGTTTATTTCCTTTTTTGTATCCTTTCAGTGATCGTGCACATATATTGGTTAAGCATAGTAAGAGGTATATTTTGGCAGGATTAAGTGTTTAAAAAATCCAGCTCATTTTCATAATTTATGCAAAAATAGAATGGAGCATGGACATGGTGTCAAGGAAATGGGTGGGGCAACACCAATGGTTTATGGGAATTTAGGCTTGTTTCGAACATGGCCGCCATCAAGATGGTGGCTCATAAAGTACATGTTGTAAAACAGATCACAGTTCACCAGGATGACAACGCAAGACTACATACCAGGTACGTACCGACGTAGGATACAATGATGCTTCATCTTTCATGTGACTTGCACTTGTAGAAGAGCCGATTGCCCTGTTTCTGAACCTTTCGTCCTGGGAAACTGCAGTTTGTGCCCTCTGACGACATTAAAATTTGATCTGTGATAGTATGGCAGTTCGAAATCGCATTTGAAGTAGTGATTTAATTACTACTATATAGGCCCTTTTAACACTGAAAACCTGAAAATAATCAGTGGAACCGATGTCGAGAAATTGAATCCACAACATGTATTTGGCCCCCTCCCACCCACTGAAGAAAGTGTGTTTAGTTCAAGTGCTGGCATAAATTCAAAAATATCACACGATTGTTTCAAAGTAGGATAAAACTTCAATACATACATCAAGCCAACATATTCCGAAATATGAAAGAGATCAGGACTTTTGATCCAGAAATAGACACTGTCAAAGTTGCTTCAAATTTGGGCAGCCATTTTGTTTACACCATGTGAACTTCAAGCACTGGCATAAATTATAAAAATTCAATTGATGTTCTGCAAAGTGAAATCAAACATGACTACATACATCACTCCAACACATTCTGAAATATTAGGGAGATTCCAACGTCTTATTTAGAAATATAGACTGTCAAATTTACCTAAAATTTTGTCTGCCATGTTGTTTACAGTGTGTAAACTTTAAGTGCTGGCATAAATTTAAAAACAAAATCAACCGAATCATGTTTAAAGTAAAATGAAACATATTAAGTACATATCTCCGCCCAAACTATTCCAGGGTATGGAAGAGACCCATTGATTTGATCCAGAAATATAGATTGTCAAATTTACCTAATATTTTGTCAGCAATATTGTTTACACTATTTGAATTTTTAGGGGCTGGCATAGATTTAAAAAAATTAACTAATCTCGTTGAAAATGAAATGAAACATAAGTACATACATCCCTCTAATCTATTCCAGAATATGGAACAGATCCATACATTTGATCCAGAAATACAAACTGTCAAAGTTGCCTACAAGTTTGTCAGCCATATTGTTTACAATGTGTGAACTTCAGGTGCTGGTGTAAATTGAAATACATCAACTTATCTTGTTGAAAGTAAGATGAAACTTGACTTCTTATTTCGCTCCCACATATTCACTTCCACAATTTTGATCCTGAAATATAGACTGTCAATTGCTTAATATTTTGTCAGCCATATTGTTTACAGTGTGTGAAAATCATGTGCTAGCATAAATTCAAACAAATACAATGATCTTCTTAGCTTCAAAATCAAAAGAAACATAACTACATATTTCCCCTTACACCACTGCAGGATATAGAAAAGATCCTTTCATTTGATCCTAAAATATAGACTCTCAAACATCCCAACATTTTGTCAGCCATATTGTTTACAGTATGGGAATTTCAAGTACTGGCATGCATTTCAAGACCACAACAGATTTCTTTAAAAGTCAAATGAAACAAAACTACATATGTAAGTCCAACATATTGCAGGATATTAACTTTCAGACTTTCAAACATGTTCAAAATTTTGTCATCCATATTGTTGACACTCAAAACTGCCTACTATATATACCCCTAGGGAGAAATTTTCAAAGAAATAAAATATCTTTTCCTAAGTAAAGTATATATCCCTGTAACATATGTTGTAATTTCAAAGAGATACATGCCTATCAACCAGAAACATTAGCATACGAGAATGATACACATAGTGTAATGCATTGGCCAGGTCCCCCCGTCCCCCACCTGCAGTAAATGTTTACTGAATGTTATTAATGAATGTTTGGATCTTATTATAAACACTTATGACCACCTATGAGCTGCACTGCCAATAATATTATTATGGAACAGGAATCTATGAAGGGGTGTGAACTTAGAATAAGCTGATGTGTACAAAATTTCTAAGAAATCAACCATCACAACTCGTTGTGACAGGAGAAAATTTAACTTTGCCGCTAGGAAGTTTTACCCATCGTCCCTTGCGTGAAACGAGCCTCTATCTCGTGAGTGCCGCCGTTTCTGTACCACTTTATTATTACCATGGTCCTGCATGAATATGGAGTTGACCTTTGACCTCATATGATTGTCAAAAGTCATGACCTCTAAAACTTGATGACCTAATTCCTGAGGTGGAGGTTACTTGGCAAACTGCATAATATCAAAGCAATAATGCTTCCTTCAAGACAGATTGGGGACATCCGAACAATTTCGTGTGTAAGAAAGTCCAAATATGACTGGGGCCGTTTGGACCCCAGACGATCTTACATCAGACTTCCAGTTGTTATTTTTACACATCTCCAAACCTCTAAGTATGCCGATCTCCAAAAACATTTTGGAGAAATCGAAGAATTGATTTATTGAGAAAGTCACAAAAATTTTCAAATAGCACATAAAACTATACGCCTGGGGTCCAAATGGACCTCTGGTGTTTGAGTGTTAATGATGATGTTAACGTTATTTCTTGTTCATAGCGGAGTACATGGGGTGCTATCAGGACAGTGAGAGCCGCGTGTTCCCGTGGGAACATATCCAGACTGGCGACAACAGCATCAAGTCCTGCGGGCTGCACTGCAAGAAAAACGGATACATCTACTTCGGTAAGACATGTACATACCTTGTATATTAGTCTGTAATGTACTCGTTATAGGTAATTACCCTGCGTCCTTGTGTGGGGCCGTGTGACGTAGCGATAGCATCTTCGAATCGAAACAAAGAGGTCCCGGGTTCGAACCCCACCTTGTCACCGATCTTGTGCTCTTTCTCATTTTACTTAGGTGTAAATGAGTAACTATCTTTAGTTAGGGACGTCCCTCGAATAGGACGTTAAGTGGATCCGGAGGTCCCTTGATTGGGTAGAGCCACACCCCACATCTTTCGAAAAAGAGTAGGGGCATGCCCCGATGTGCGATGGTTTAAATACTTTTCTGATTATTCACTACGGACTCTCGGAAGAGTAGTGTGAAATTCTCACTTATGGAGATCCTAAACAAACAAACAAACAAACAAACAAACCATATTCATTTTCTTGCTCCACACTACAGCCACCAGCAATGACAGGTGTTTTGATGCTAAATATATAAAATTATATTTCTTGAGTTTTTAAAAATTGCATTGCGTTTTTGCCTTGTTTTGTAAACACGATGGTCAAATTTGGGCCCAAATATTCCAACCTTTTCATCGAACAGAATCATGTTCGATATGACGTCATTCGAATTGAATCATGTTCGATATGACGTCAATCGAACCGAACGTTCGTTCGATCCGGGGTTACCCGCGGTCATGTACAGTAAACCCGCGGCTTCAAGCCCGTTTTTACACGGGTACCGCCTAACAGTAAAAAATGCACCTTTTCACAAATATAAACTAATTTCGGGACAGTATATCTATGCCCTGTTTTATAGTGGATATGCGACATGTAACGAAGCTACTGCCGTTATCGTGTGTGACCTTGAAGAACGTAATTGTTGTTTACGGGGATATAAGTTACCCCTGTACTTACTCACACGACCTGACATGCGTGCAAACATGGTATTTAAACCGCAAGAAAAACAAATTCAATTTACCTACAAAAACGTTTTAAATTGTAGGTAAGACAAAAATCTCGATCTGTGTCGGACGGATTTTTTTAAAAGATGGCGGCGTTCTGGAATTATCCGTCTTGAAAGTTGAAAAAGTGCATTTTTTGGCGAATTTTTATATCTTACCAACACTTTAACTTTGAAATGAAGAAAACTGTCCGACTCAAATCTTAATTTTGTTATACTGTTCTCTAAAATGCAAAAATATGGAATTTTCAGAGAGATTTGGGGTCGGTTTAAATCAGTTGTTTGGTTATTGACGTCGATTGTTCTAGAATAAGCATTCGACGCGTCGAGAGTGATTTCACGCACATTTAAGCATTGTAATAAAAACACCAACATTTGAGCTATATGCAGTGCGGATTTTATCACATTTGAACAAGAGAGTCCCCGTGAAACTGTTTATAACTGATGAAAAGAATGTTTACCGCAGAGACCGGCTCCACGGAAGCCTCGCGTGGAACCCCGGTAACCTGATACCCCTCCGTAGAATTGGAAACTTTACCCTAGAAATTGACTGCCGTGAAAATTGCTGTTTTCCCCAGGTATGCAATATGCAAGCCATTGCTTCTGTGGAACTGACAACAACTTCGCCAACTTGGGAACAGCAAGGCCCGATTCTGACTGTTACATGCCGTGCTCCGGAAACTCAGCAGAAATGTGCGGCGGTTCATTGCGGAATTCTATATACAGGCCTGGGAGGATAGGTAAAACTTTCATTCAGATGTTTTTGATCTTTGGAAAATACTGTGCAACACCCCTTTGTTAGGGTAAGACGCAGAGGGGAGTACGCTGCGCCCTTATTGTTTCCTCAGGTGCAAGAGTACGGTTTCCTTTAAGTTTTAAAGTTCTATGGTTTCTGTTATGTCCTGAGGAAGAGCGTTCCATGATCCAATCCCTGACGGTCTGAGGTCATCTACTGTTAGTTGCCCTTTCTTCTCTCTTTTTGGAACATCTGGAAACATAATGACATAACGTTCTTGCATGACATCAAGTGTTAAAACGTGTCCTGCTTTGACATTTTCTTACATAAGTATCGCTCTTGGTGTTCATCTTCATATAATTTATGTATAGTTCTTTAACAGTTTTTGTTTGTTTTCTGTTGAAAAAGCCAACATTACAGCTTCATCTTATTGGGGTGATTTTCATCTCCCTACCCACGCTCGACTGGACTTCAAGGAAGTTTCCGGTACGCACGCCGGCGCATGGGCACCCCAGCAAAGTAATACAGACCAGTGGCTGATGTTCGACCTTGGTCAAAGATCAACCGTCGGCGTCCTCAGGACTCAAGGACGACAAGCCGGAAATTACCAGTGGGTGACGTCATACAGCGTGTCGTACGGGAATTCCAGCGGAGACGAAATGTGGTATAAAGACGCGAACGGAGACACGATAGTAAGTAAACATCTGTTTTAACGTCATCCTGTGTTATGATGACGTCACATTTCCTAACCGAGGACTGGCCGGGCAATCCTATGGAACGAAGTATTGACAATAAAGTTTGTTTTATTTACCTTTAATTACGTTAAATTTATCTTGTACCCAATGCTATACCGGAAAAAGGGATGCCACGAAATCATTTGAATTTTACGAAATCCATACGGATTTTACGGAATTCGTGCGAATTTTAGGGAAGCAAAGGGAATGCATAATGTTCCATTACTAAGACCTTTTACGGAATGCATACGATTCATTACTAGGAAACTTGTGAATTTTGAATAAATTTTGCGGAATACATACGATCCGATAGGCTAAAACATACGATCCTTACTAATCTGGTGACTTGTACCACGCTCACGTGACTTTGGCGGCAACTTGTTAAATTCAAGATGGCGGATGTGTGTTTTCATTTCTCCCTACAACGAAGGGCTTATTATCCCACCCTGCTAAACACCAGAAACCCCAACCTGCATCAATGTTGGCTTCCTTGGCGACATATTAGCCTGTATTTTAGCCCAAATAGCAGGGCGAGACTGAGAATCTGTGTTGGCGCGATAAATTTATCCAAAACTCACGTGATCGTGGCGCAAGTCACCAAATCAGTAAGGATCGTATGTCTCCGCGTAATGGATCGTATGTATTCAGTAAAGTTTGTATGTTTCTATGTCTTCCGTAAAATTAGTATGTTTCCTAGTGATGGATCGTCTGTATTCCGTAAAATTTGAATGCATTTTTTTGCCACCACTGGAACTATAGGTGGTATATAATGAAAGCCGTATCCGGAAATTTAGGATCCAAAGAATGTAAGAACTGTAGTAAATGGAATTGCCATCCTTGACTTTTATGATTATAAATTCCCGGTTTTGTTTACAAAGTAAAAGTTACTCGACTTTATTTGTATTTATTGCCATTTGTAAATTTCGTGGTTGAATGATGGTTGAATAAACGGATGCCATGTTTTGATACTCGGCAGGTGTTCACGGGTAACAGTGACGGCAGCAGCCTGGTGACGCACGTGTTGACGGACTACAGCGGACCTTTCCACGCCCGATACGTCAAGTTTCACCCCGTGACGTGGTCTGGGTGGGTCTCCATGAGGGCAGACGTCGGGGAAGGTACCGAGATTGCTTTTAATATCCAAATCTCCGTTAAATGTTCCTTAGTTCTGAAATAAAATACAATTAGATTTTAGAAGAGCTGATGGATCGATTCATCTTTGCTCAGATCAGTGTCACATATTCCAAACCCTTCCCCGAACACAAGCCGATTAAGGTTGAAATTTCAGTTAAATATGAGCCAAATGCCTCTGCCAGTCAATCCCCGATTTACCCCATCTTCCTGTGCTTACCAAAAAAAAAAAAATGTTAAAAGCATTTTGAAATGCTTCCGCGGACAAACAGTAGCCGAACTAGGCGAATAATGACATATAAGCCCGATACCAACCTTCTCCTATCAATAGTTTTGGGGAGTTGGGCAGTGTTCAGGACTCCTATTCGGCTATCTGTGACAGGCTTGTAAAAAGGACTGCACACGTAACATATGGGAGGGGACGGGGGTTATACGAAAATTATTAACCGTGTGAAACTGTGGCAAGATACTAGTAGTTCTACAATAAGTTCCAAGACAATGGCAATGTCGGAAAGGCTGGAGAGCTCCAATTGCCACGTGTAAAGCGAATACCAGTATGCATGCAAGTGGACGCTTAACAATAATTGTGATGCTGTGATCCAATGCTTTCACTTAAAGTTTGTCAGAACAAGGTCACTATCTACAAGGTATCTGGTAGACCCTTGAAAGGCCATCTCTTTGGTTGTGCCAATATAAGATAAATTCACAAATACCCCTTGGACATTTCAATCAATCAATCAATCAATCAATCAATCAAAAATGGTTTATTGTTAAAATCACGAACTTTGCAGCAGAAGCTGAATTGCGTTCAGAGATGTACATCATTTCTTTTAAAAACATTAACGACTGCACAGTCAACATATTAAACCCATTTAGCATAACGAGATTCAAATTTTGCTCACATTTGCATCTTTTTGATATTTAAAAATATCAAAATTACATTTACATTCCATATACAAGTTTCACAAAATATATTAGAGACATTTACAAGTTTAAGAGTGACATCATTTCGATTCATTCAACAGTCTTAAGAGGGACGGTAAAGGGCTGTTGTAACATCTTGTTGTACGTGTGGTAGGGAGAGTCCTTTTTTGTAGAGTTTCTAAGTTCACGTCGGGTTGACTGTCCCCGGGTTGGAGGTAGCAGATCAGCAGTTCTCTCTGACTTCTCCATGCTGACTGCAAACTTACGGCACAGGTTCAAATCTCCGATTTCAATTTACCTTCCTCATATTGTCCGTTTCTCATATCCACAGTTGCACCAGTTGGCTTCTGGCCGCTGAACAGGCACACCCAGCTGCGTGACGTCAGCGGATACGGAAATGACGCAACCGATGTGGGCGTGTCCCTTGGGAGCGGTGTACACGGTGAGAGCGAAGGGGCGTACAACTTTTCCGGTAGCAGCACCTCCTACATCGAGATCCCCAACAACGGGGCACTGGACACCCGCTATTCGGTGACAATCCTGGCCTATGTGTACCCCACAGGGACAGATGGACCCATCGTTAACTACAGGATCAATAACTACGGCGTTCATCTTTGGCAAATGGAAACAAACAAGTTGTTTGTAAGGTAAGAGACTAGTGTGGTTACGTTAAATTTACCACTGTCAATGGGAATAATAGAAAGATATATCCTTCACAACACGAAGGGAGTAACGTTGTACACCGGGTAAAATGTCTGCTTCTTGAAGTTATCTTGGAAGTTCATCTGTGCTGGTAAAAGTCATTATGAAATAAGTTTGAAAAATAATTGACAACACAAGCAACCGGACTTACCAAGTGATGAGCAATCCGCCGCTTCCGTGACGTCACGCAGATAATAAACTTGACTCCGTCAGGAGTGGCTTATAGGTTGCAGAAAGTCTGTGGCGCCCCCCGTCTGTGTTGAGGGATGGTTGCAATGCCCTGATGTAAATCGCATATACGGAAGCGTTGGATTACTCATTCCCTTAAAAAGACTGGAGTCGTTGCATTCGACAATTTGGGAAGGTCTGATTTTTTGTGTTGGCAATTACAGTTTAATATCATGTCAATCTTGATATGGTTGGACGAGGTAAAGATATGAACTTTCACCAACTCAACAAATCATATATGGCATTAGCAAAATAAATAGTGCTATAGGGTACAAGCTTACAAGCTAACATTACCTAATGCGTTGAACTGTTTTGCATTTGTAATGTTTTCTGTCTTACATGGCTAATATTGTATAGTCACTATTTAAATGTGAACTTTTAAAAACTTTAATTCCAATAATCGTGCCTTTTTTTAAGAAGTCATTACTAATAGATAATCATATAAAGAATTATAAAACAGCTTAAGATTTTGATACTAGATGACAGCCAATATACAATGTAGTCCGATTTGAGACGACCATAAGTTATGTCAGGATCTCCAAAGTTTATTTATGTTGTTTGTTTATGTTTATTTTATGGAAAACTTGAGTTCTGACTGCATCCCTGATTTTCTGTTTCAATTTCTTTCCTGCTAGAATGGCGACCCGTAGCCACGTTTTCACGAATTCTATAAACGTGGCGACACTGAATCTAAACCAGTGGAACTTCGTCGGCTTGACCTACAGCTACTCTACGGGGAAGGTCAAAGCGTGGCATGACGGGATAGAAGTAGGAAGTCTTGACGTGGGCACGATTGAGACAGAGACTCAGTACGACATCCGGGTGGGGTACAGATACGGGGATGCCCGGGCTTTCCAGGGACGGATCGCCTGTATACAAATTTACAACATCCCTTTAAACGGCGATCAGATCAGGGACGCAGCAGGAAAATGCAGAGGTGAGTAGCTTGGCTTTACTTAAAATTGACGAAAAACATTGGTAAACTTGTCAGATGTTTTAAGACGTGGTATGAAAAGTGACATAATTCACTAGTCAAGGACCAGTCTGCTGGTTCATATGACTATTTAGCTGTGCAGTTAAACCTGCTAACGGATCTTTCACTCACTGCCAGAGTTTCTAAACATCGTTTATTTAATAGCTTAATCTTCAGAGGTGTTGCACATAAGTCTAAAGTACAGGTAGATTGCACAAGAGCCAACTAATGAATTATAACTTAATGTACACCTGAATCTAGCCTACTTTTAATTAGCGACTAAACAATTGATACCATTACAAATCATTCTCGTCCAGTAATTTCATTTCTTGATCTTTTCCTAGCAGCATCACAGCCGGTCGGTCTGTGGCCTCTGAACAAACAGTATGGTCTGACGGACACGAGCGGAAACGGAAATGACGCCACCGGTGAGGGTGTGGCTCTTGGTACCGGTGTGTACGGCGAGCCCGAAGGTTCCTACGTCTTGTCCGGCAACAGTAGCTCCTACATAGAGATCCCAAACGACAGGACACTGGACACCCGCTACTCTCTCACTATCCTGGCCTCCGTGTACCCGACTGGACAGTCTGGACCCTTACTACATTACGGAGACAGCGCGAGCGGAGTCCACATGTGGCAAGACTCCACGTACTTCTTAAAAGCCAGGTACGGGTATAAAGAGCTATTTCGAAGAATCTGCAGGTTTCTTTTCTTTAGCCAAAATGCAAAACCTACCCTCATACTATGTACATGTGTTTGGAAATTCAGTACCTTCATCGTCGTTGCCGCATGCATGTTGATGAAGAGCATTAACTTCATAGTTGTATCTATATCTGTATAGCCGGTATAACCGTCTCTTCCGGCGTAACATATCAGTTCTACAGGCACGCAGCGGACGGCAGCTGGCAATTTTTACCGAACGACTTGTTTCACCCAGCTGCAGCCTTTGTGCATTTGAATCAAAGTCTAAACATTGTTCTGAAGCCATCTAATGATAATACCCATACTGCACTAGGTGGCAGCAGTTTCCACTCTGATGATTCTAGGAAATAACTTGTCTGGAGATGGAAATGTTATGTATAAACGATGGGGCAGCAAAGGTTAAAGCTTTAGATCAGCTAAATATGGAAGAAAGAGTGGGAAGACATAATGTGTGGGAGATAAAAGGGGGTAAAAAATAGGGGGACTGCGATGGGTATCCACTGAAATTCTCCAGTTCTTTTCTTTTTCTGTTTATCAGCCTTTTTAGCAGAAATGCAACCACCAGTCAGACCTCGCGGACACGGTGCCTCAAACCTGACCAGTGGAACTCCGTTGGTCTGACGTACGACTACAGCTCAGGCATCCTGAAGCTTTGGTACGAAGGTCTGGAGATCAGCAGTACCGACATCGGCGTGTACCAGCTCGGGACCAACCACGCTGTCCGCATCGGTGCCGTGGGGTCCGATTCCTTCACAGGAAGCGTTTCCTGTGTACAGATTTATGATGTTGCCTTAAACCAGAGCCAGATAGAACACGCAGCAACACTGTGCACAGGTGAGACAAAGAATATCTAAATCTATCATAAGATTGGAAAGCAGAACCATCTGGGATAAAGAAATCTCTAGAGGTCGGCTAGAAAATAACATTTATTAATTAAGTGGAGTGATTTTGTATTAGAGAACACTGTACAGTTAGCAACCCATAACCCTCAGATCAGTCGACCGGCTGGTAAACTGTTCAGTGGCAGGTATAGCTTAGTTTATCGAACCGCATTGTTATTATAACAACGTATTGGACGTAGCGAAAGGTAACGGTTAGCGAGTAGAAAGAATTAGGTTTCATAGGATATCTTTTATCTGCTTCATCTAGATAACAACATCGCCATTGGGAAGACGGCGACACAGAGTAGTACCCATAACTCCTTGTGGCTAGCACCGAATGCCGTGGACGGGTACAAAGGATCAAACGCGAACGTCCCCAAATGTACACATACACGGAACGAATCCGAGCCGTGGTGGAAGGTGGATTTGGGCGGAAGCTACGTCATTGTACGAGTACGTCTGCTGAACAGGAGGATCGTAGCAGGTATGGGAGCCCCCTTAATTTTTTTATTTATTTTCTTATTTACAATTCACTTGGACATTACAACACTCCCCTTTTTTTGGACACAGTTCGGGATTTTTCGCCTGTTCGATTAAACCATCTACCTTTAGGTTCTTTATTTCTTACTTTAGCAATTGCAAGTTCAAGGATGTCGAAACTTTAATGCAATTTACAAACAAATTCATTTGGGGGCAAGCGACGATCAATTTGGCCACACGAATCACCATGTACAGCCACCAAAAGTTCTGCTTGGATATTAATCGGTTTTTGTAGCTTTCGGTCAATTGGACACCCGTACTGGGTCTTGGGAATAACATTTGAAGTAACACTGAGACCACTTGTCACATCATAAAAAAGTAAAACCGTCGCAGTAAATTTCACATAAGCCACCTAGGCAAAAAGGTAACGGATAAAGTTATCCACAGATGCGTGATACGAAATTAGCAACGAAATAACAGTTTAGGCAAATATAAATCAGTTTGTAACTTTGCTCGTTGCCGGATACAGGGCAGCGCCTTGAAGAGTTCCAAGTTCGAGTTGGAGAGGATTCGGACATTTCAAAGAATACCATCTGCGGGAGAACGACCAATCAGCTCGACTATCCTGCCGAGGGGCGGAGCATCACCGTCGACTGCGCTCAGCCAATCACTGGCCGTTACGTGTCCGTACAGCTGATCGGCCGGACCAACTACCTTCAGTTGTGTGAAGTAGAAGTGTTCGTCGGTGAAGGTAAGAAAAAAAAAATCGAGTCAGAATGACAGATCATTCTAGCTTTCAGATACAACGAAGATACTATCGTATCTCATTTAACTTTCATCTATTTGAAGCGAAGATGATTTACAGAAACCGTTGCTTTAATATTTTAAGGTATTCGTAATGCCGATCATCAGACACTGTATGTCTTTTTCAAAGTATCCAAGACTCAAAAGGCTACAGGGAATGCCCTGGTACGCGATGGTGCAAATATTTGTCTGATTGTTCACAGCGGATTCCAGGAAAAAATAGTGTGAAATTCACACTAATGGAGATCCTAAACAATTTACACTCCTTATAGCCTGAGATAACAGCTCACTTATTTTTGTTTCCGCTCTTGTTGGATGCCGTAACCGTGACTTGTTTGCCCAAATTTAGGAAAAGACGCAGGGTGGCTGACGTTGGACTTCTACTCAGTGATCAACTCAACTGGGACCCCCCACGATGACGGCAGTATTGTTTATGACGCCTATAAGACGCGGGACGGGAACGTCTCCACCTACTGGCACCCAACAGGCGTGACTGACAACCAATACTTCATTACTTTTGATTTGCAAGAATACTATTGGTTGTCCAAGATCCGCGTGATTGGCTACGAGGAAGATGACGCAGCCACTCATCACATTTCCGCCTTCACCATCAAGACAGCGCTGAACACAACGGGAAGTTGGACCGACGTCATTTCCTTTTCCGGTTTGGCGGGGAGGCAGGTGAAGGCGTTTACAGGGTTTGTGGCAATGAGTCGCTACTGGCGAGTGGACATCACGGAAACTTCACACGGCCTTGAGCCGTACGTGGCCGAGATCCAATTCTACGGGCATCTAGGTAAATAAAGAACAATGTCATATCTATACTCTCATAAAGGTTCGTGCTCTGTTGCTACTTACATTAATGTAGTTAAACTTGTGTTAAAACGCAAATGATTGTCTTTACCCTGAGCTTAGGCCCATTCGCTTTGATCTTTATCAATAGACTGACCCAGTGAGTCATGTCACGTGGTGTCTTTAAAGTGGGGGCATGAACACTGGGTCAAAGGTATCTGGTAAACGATGTCAGCTTCCTTCGCGTTTTAGTGATGGTTGATGGATAATGTTGATATCCGCTTTCACACCTCTTAGGAAGTAGTCTTGTTCGTTTTCCAGTATTCTTACTTTGTGTTGTGAATGTTCTGAGCTGACTGAGGGAGAAACGTGTCGCGCTTATATCGGGTAGCCAAACAGTTTACCGTGAACAGTTCCCCGTACGATAATGCTTGTTATCACACTTTCCGGAACACCTGTATCAAACCTTATCTCGGCCCAGGTACGGCATAACGATATGTATCTGTTATCCTAGCCTATCCTCGACAGACATCAAGAGTGATGACGTTCCCCTCACCCAAGTCTACAGCGAACTACGCCAGGCACCTAGCATCCCTCAGTCAACCACTGACGGCGATGACAACGTGTCTGCAACTGCGCAGTGACGACGCCATTTTTGGTACTCCCGTCAGCTATGAAATGTCAGCCAATGCATTTATACTGATCGGACAAAGTACGGGGAAGTTTAGGGTAAGGAGAGTACCGACGATAAGCTATGATTTCTTTGTATCGTTCTACAGCGTGCCATGACAAAATTGGTTGTAATGATGTCTGTTTTCTGCTAAAAAAGAAAAGTACTGGTCCACAAGAAAATGGATCTGGCCATTTAGTTTACTATGTTGTTCAAATGAATGCATGTGTGTCACTGTCCCTCGGTAATTACCCTGAATACAATAGCCAATGATAAATATAGGCACTACTGCACGACTGTAGAAAGCCTCAAGGTTGCCCATTATCGCCCTTGGCTTTGTTATGATGACAGCTGTTTATTAAACCAAGGATGAAATCTCCTTCTTTAAACCTACAAGTAAAGGATATCATAGTATCCATCGAAAGCTTCACAAAAAAATCATGCTGGCACACACACAAACTCAGCCTATTCAGAAATCATAAGAAATTTGTCATTTATATTTGTACACAGATATATGTGAATGGCCGAAGTACTAATGAGGTAGAACTTATCATCTCGTATCAACGCTTCCTGTGCACCACGTGGTCCAGTACAGCGGGAGAATGGAAGTTGTACGCAGACGGGACAGTAATCGCCTCCGGATCGGGGCTAGCACAAGGGACTAGCATTCCGGCGGGAGGAGTCTGGATTCTAGGCCAGGAACAGGACAGTCCCGGCGGAAGTTTCGACACTTCTATGGCCTTTACCGGGGAAATCTCTCTTCTGAACGTGTGGGACCGGGTGATTACAGAGGCGGAGATCGAAACGGCCAACAACGGCACAGCAGAGGGGAACATCATCAACTGGAGACAGGATACATTTCTGCTTTACGGACAAGTCACGAATAGCAGCGGTAAGTAGACTAAAGCAGGCTTGTATGAACCTCTGATGAGTGTACATTTATGAGGAAATAGATGCAGGATACTGTAGACACAATGTCATGAGCTTTGAATCCTGTTGCAGAAAACGCAATTACATTGACAGTCTCTCTGTAACGAATATTCACACGGCTCTTTTTTCTATCATCAGGATGTGAAGATTCTAGAAGCACTGGTACTGAAAAGAGTTACCAGTGGGACATCGCTCTTCCTGGGTCATCGCCTTTGACCTTCAGTGTCATGGCCGGAAATGACGCACACATCGCCTTGTCGTCACAAGCAGCTGTACTCAATGACATGTACGAGATCGTCATCGGTGGTTGGAACAACACACAGTCTGTGATTCGCCGTGCACAGGACGGCGAGAACAAAGTAACAGTATCAACACAAGGTGCACTTTTTCTTTGTATCTGTTGCATTTCGTCTGCAAACTCAAACTAGTTAAAAGACACGATAGTCTACATGTACATGCTTTATGATTCAAGAAAATCTTACATCAATTGTATGAATCATGGTTTAACCCTGATAATAATTGTTTATATTGTAGGAGCGAATTAGTAATTCGCAGGTTTAATATACCGTTTATTGTTGATTTAAGTAAGAATTAGTTATATGACCTCTGACCTCAATTCTTAATTTTTAACTTGTAATTATTTAATCTGCACTATTGTGTATATATTTGTTTTATGTAAAATTTGTCTGCGATCTGATGCTGAGCCCTGAAATATTACATGGGGCTAAAGGGTATCTTTATAAACCAACATGCACGAGAAACATTATCTAATGAACTGTACCCACGCATATACAGCTAGGGAAATAGTCTTCTCATTTTAGTCGTGGCTTCTGTGCCTAGCAAATATGTTCGTATGCGTTAATGTCTATATCATGTAATTATCATCTTTAATAATTTTCCAGATGTTTTGTCATCTGATGAGTTCAGAGGCTTCTGGATCTCCTGGGCAGAAGATGGAACCATCGCTGTCGGTCGGGATGGAGAAAGCAGCCCGTTCATGCAGTGGCGGGACCCTAACCCTCTCGGTATTGGGTACTTCGGGTACTCAACAGGAAATGGCAGTGCCGGAGAGTTTAGATTCCCCTGTCAGCCAAGTATGTGTATGTCAGCTCATGATGAGTTTATGCAATTGTTTAATATTCATCTGCATATTTCACGTGTCGGTATGAAGAGCGCCCTAAGTTATTCATTGACATTTAGAAAGGAATCAGAAGTTATGTTTTGGGTAGCGTTTGTGTGCGTGTTTGTATGTGTGTATGCATATGTTTGAGCACGATAACCTAATAAGCTGTGTATGGAATTTCATGAAAATTCTTAGATGTAGTGTAGATGAAACCTTTGATGAAAAACAGAATGACTACATTTTTAATCATCTGGCCTCTTGATACTGTACCGAATCTGTTCTTATATCGCGTAAACTGGTCATGGGTTTTAGATGTTTAAATGGGTATTTTGCTTGACATGAGTTTTTCCCTCCTAACAAAAAGGTCAAGATCTGCAGGGGCGTTTGTTTAAAAATCTTTGAGACAGGATAAATTGAAAAGTGGTTTTCAATTTTTTTCTGTATGTTGTGGCTCAAGTCATACTTAACATAACTATAATGCAAACAATTCAACTTGCATCAATGAAAAAACGATTGTGTTAATCGGTTATGTTTCAATTAAGAGAGAAAGGAACATCGACACATATTGTTATATGAATACAGACCCAATTTGAATAATTAAAGCAAAAATTTAGAAGATTGGTCAATATAAATGTCATAAAACATAGCTTATTTCATCCAGTAAGTAATTTTCCAGATTATAAGGAATTGCTAGAATATTTTTTATTTGGTAGGATTAGACTGTAATCGCGTAGCAAATATAATCAACTGATATAATCTTAATTGCATATGAGGAATTTTTTTGCATGATCGTTGAAAAACATTTACAATGCGTTATATAAGTTTATCTGTGTGTAAATAGTTACACTTACGATCCAACGCAAAGTTCTCTCGCCTTGATCAGTCACTCTGGTCTTAATTAGTAGACTGACAAAGTGAGCTTTTTCACGCGAATTCTTTGAAGTATGGTGTCAACACTAGGTCAAAGGTAAGCGATGTCGGCCCCCGTCGCACGTCACACGCCACTTGACAAGCCTCACTGGGCCAGTCTACTGAAGAAGACCAGAGTAACTAGTCGAAAGTTCCAGGCAAAGAACTTTGTGTTGGGTCAAAGGTTTTAACTCTAAACATTCGTCAGTTCAGTGATTATGTGAAACGTTTTTTTTTTGTTTCCGTTCAGAATATTCATTACTGATGCCTTCGTATTACGGCTTTGACATCTACAAAGTACCCGTGACTGGAAGCATGCTCAGTGCCAACCTCCGTACCGCCTGTGAAGCCCAGGGGATGCAGACGGTGTGCCGAAGGGCCACCGAAGAGGCGGGACCGGAATATTGGTTTTCCTACTGTCAAACCATCCCGGTTGGGACTGAAATATCAGCAACAGAAGGAAATCACCCAGTTCTAGCATATCATTTGTGTGGTTCCAAGCTTCCAAAGCCATGCGCGCCACTGCATGATACTTTTGTTGCTGTACCGGGCTGGTTTGCCAATGACGGCGCGTGTGGAGTCAGAACATCTGCTTGGTGCGCCAATGGCAACGACTTCAACAACAAGGACGCTCTTTGTGCCAGAGGTAATGTATAACATTTTTTTTGTTTTGAAGAGCTTGTTTTAGAACAATGGGTGCTTTTGAAATAGTGTGTGATGTCACATTTCCGAACCGGGACCCGGCCGGGCTGTTGAAATCATCGACGAATCAGCAATTTATAACAATAGTACATACACGCAAATAGTTCCCATTATTAATTTTAAAACTTTCTCTTTGCTTTGTTGTCTTTTATACGGGCCTCGGTTCGGAATTGTGATCTCAGCATTAACCGAAAAATTGCTGTCGAACGTCTAACATTCGACAGCAATTTCAGCAATTTAAAAATGCTTCTGCCTTACCGGTACATGATAGAAAATGGTAACTTTTGTTTTCGCCGCGATTGTTACCTTTATTGAAGATATTCAGAATAACTTTTTTTGTTAGGGGACGCATGTCCTGCTGACTGGTTATGCTTCAAGTAATTACCTTATCGAACAACTGTTGAGCAGTATTTGCCAGAACAGTTATTTTCCTATGATTTCAGTGTTGTATCGGCTAAAAAGTGATATTTATTACCAAAGCTTTTTATTGATCATCAAAATTACAATGCGATGCCATAATTTTCTTTAATACTCTCTAATGAGCTAAATCCTAAAGCATTATAGAGAAATGGCAACATGCATTTGGGGTAACATGTTAAGTATGTTGCAGAGCCTTTTTGGACATAGGGATATGGATAGTAAAATTGACCAAAACCTGTCGGTTTAGTTTCAGAGGAAAGCAGTGCAGCGTACCAGGAGGAGCCGACCTACCACTGCAATGGCGACAAGCCGTCCTACGTTACCATGGCAACCAGCGGCACGATAACCAGTGGGGATGATGGGTGGGGGAACTACAGCAGCGACAGTCTGTGCAGCTGGACCATCGAAGCACCGTCTGGAATGGGCGTGTCACTGACCTTCCTGACATTTGACCTGGCCGATGATGGCGACTGCCTATCGGACTACGTCGCGGTGTATGACGGGAGCAGCCAAAGCTCTGCTCTTCTGGGCAGGTTTTGTGAGAGTAACCCTGGCGTTGTGAACAGTACGGGCAACTTGATGCACGTTACCTTTGTCACCAACTCGGTACTTCAGGCGTCAGGGTTTCGGGCAAGTTTCAAGAGGCGTACAGGTAAACGTCCTCTCAAGTTATGTAATTTCAACAGAACATACAGCTGGCTCAGTTGTTAAACTTTATCATTAACCATAGTATAAATCCACTTGCTAATGAACACCATTGACACAATGGGTACTGCTTTGTTTTTCCATATGTTAACGAATGCAGGTCAGGCAGGCAAGTGTTCGACACTATGCACTCATAAAAAAATCTAGCAAAATACATGTATATACATTATGTATAATTCAGGAGACGTCTTATTCAGTTGACATTCGTTTCACTGACCTTATATTATCCGTTATGATGTGATGACATCTTCTGTCTGGTTTATTCACACGAAAATCTCTGAAAGCCACCAGTAGGCGATATTTATATTCTGGTTAAATGAGTGAGCATAAACAATAAACAAGCAACCTGGCTTCTGCATGTTACAACATGTTCTTCATTATCCAACATGTTTTACAATCTATACCAGTATATTTAACCCTCAACAGTACACCTTCCCGGACTGATTAATCTGTACACCTGGGGTCCGCGCGGACCCCAGAACAGTTTTTTGCTAATTTTTAGAAATTATCAACATGCTACCAGCTCAATTGTTTTGCAAACTGATGTGGGAACCTCTGTGTCCACATTACAAACAAATATCATACATTTTGAACTTTTTCTATTTTTTGGTGAAGAAAAGAAGACAAGAAGAAATACCCGATTTTTAAACCCATTTCAGACTAAAGGGGCTTTTGAGGCCCAACTTTGACCTCAGATAGCGGCTAAACGGCTTGCGCTAGAAGTATCAAATTTGGAGACCTTTCCTAAATGTCTCTGGAAAAAAGTTCATATTAGTTTGATACTAGTAAGTTGATGTTTTTTTGTGTTGCCATGGCAACGGGTTTCTATTTTTCAAAATAGAAGTAATTTTGGTTTAAACATAAAAATTTTCTGAGTTTTATATTAAATTACACTTCTTTTCCAACATTAATAACATCTTACATAATTAAATATAATTTAAATCATTTAATATGCATAGAATATGCTAATTTGATGACGTCATTGGTCAAAATCCAATATGGCGGACTATATTATTAGCTCTGACGTCATATGACGTCATAATTACCCCAAAGTTATTGAAATTTAATTCTATTACTACACCATTCTCTGAAAACTTGGTAGACATAAGATGAGTGCATAAAAACATATAAAAACGGTAATAAGGTAATGTATAAGAACGCCAATGTATCCATTATGATCGAAAGCCGGCTGGGGTCCGCGCGGACCCCAAAAGAAAATCAGATATAATTTTTTTTATAAATGATAGAAACGGAGTTTTCTGCACTGTTTTGAGAGACAACTTTGTGGGTGACAATTACCTAAAATTTCAGAAAAAAATCTTTAGAAACAAAAAAGATACTACAGAATATATAGTGCCGGGGTCCGCGCGGACCCCAGGTGTACTGTTTAGGGTTAAATGTTTTTTGATATCTCTGTACTTTTGCAGATTCTGCAAATGAGTGTGCCACAGGAAATGGAGGATGTGCACAGAACTGCACCAATACTGTCGGCAGTTTTGTCTGCTCCTGTGAAATAGCTGGCTACAAACTGAACGATGACGGCCTATCCTGTGACGGTAAGCAATAGTTTCATTATAGAACCAGATAGCACCTAAATGAGTGCTTCACCCCCCCCCAGATATTTTTGTGGCCGGTCCCACGTGCCTCTTAGATTTAGGGGTGCTTTTAAAATATTACATTGACCACCAAGTGAAAACAACTACGGTAAGAATAAAAATACGTGCATCATCACACGCATGCCTGCAGACGACGTATAAAATACCATGTCGATTAAGGAAATGAAACCCAATGTTTAAGCTGCGAACACGAAATAACGACTGCCCAAAATACTCCTCCTGGAGGTATACCTCCTTCACGGAGTAATAACGTCGTCAACCAAGAGTTTGTGGAATGCTGACTTGTAATTGAACACTATGTGTGGTATTCGAGGTAAGACGAAAACTAGGTTGTGGAATCACTGTTAAAACCCATGTCCATAAGTTATCTAGAAGGTTGCCGTTGTTAAATCATGGTTAAATGTGTCAAAGGCTTTCCTCCAGGCTAGGAAGAGCAACCGTGTCTTTTCAGTCAGAATTAATATCCACGAAAACCATCTGCACTAGCACTGCAGACTCTGTACTGATGGGTCTTTTAAACCGTTTTTCAATGTCGAGTACAGTAAGGAGGTCATGTGTGGCCAGAAACTGTGTTAACTGATTTTCAATGAGCTCTATGTAACACAAAGCACGTGCACTGGACGATAACTAGCAAAAGTAACCGTTAACAAATATGGATATTTTTTGGTAAATTTGGTTTTTGTCAATAACTCTACGATTGCAGGGACGAAGTCCTTTAAAAGTTTAGGTTGGGTTAGGGTTAGGGTCTCTCCTTATTTTCAACCGCCTTTTCAACTTTTTTTTGCTTCAATCTCTTGTTGTTTCGCAGATGTAGACGAGTGTGCTACAGGAAACGGTGGATGTCCACAGAACTGCACTAATACTGTCGGCAGCTTCTCATGCTCCTGCAATACTGGCTACAAAGTGAACGATGATGGCATATCGTGTGACGGTAATCTACATATATATTTTCTTATGTATGACTAGCGATAACTTAGTTGGAGATGTGTTATTCAATGGTGCATACCCATGTTTGTAGAATATTTTATAATATCATTCACATTTTCATATTTTTTGTGTATTCATTCCACTATGTAAAAACGCATTTAACCTTGATGATTGCAATGATGACCATGTGATGTTCTTTATCTATCATAGATTGACACTTGGTTTCATTAACGTGCCAATGAAGGCATATACAAATGTAAGAAATCCTCCGGGTTGACTTCGTTCCTTTATTACAAACAGACATTGACGAGTGTGCGAACTCTAATGGAGGCTGTGAGCACGTCTGTACCAACACTGAGGGCAGCTTCCAGTGTTCCTGTCATATCGGACAAACACTCAACGGAGATGGAAAAAACTGCGACCTTACAAGTGAGCTACACTTCTTGCTGTCGGAAAAGGAATACAACTTAATTTAGATAGAAAGTACATTAGATAGAGAGTTCGTAATTTATGAATTAGGCCACACTGATTTAATTTTATGGATGACATCCTCTGAAGACCCCCAAACTAGTGCGCGCGGGCGAAAAAAATAGAAATCCGGCCAAAAATAAAAATGCTACAAATCCACAGGAATACAAACCTGGTATTGTGAATTTGGCGCATTACATAGCGACGTATACGACAGGCCGACACATGCTGGATTTTTGCGGAATATATGAATCGACACTGCTGTACGTATGTACTGAGTTCTTGAGTCTTGGAGCTTCGGTAGCCTGGCTGCCGTCAACCAGAGTTATCACCACCATGCACTACCCAGGCCTAAAGCCAGGCCAGAGCCTCGGCATACGTGATCCTTTTTTTTTTTTTTTTTTTGAGATCGGGCGAAAATCAATGCGCGCGCGGATGCCATCCATAAAATTAAATCGGTGTGGCCTTAAATATAAAAATGAAACTGTTCTGCGACTCAAATTTTCGACTGAATCACTCGAAGGTACCTATTTTTGGACAAACGTTTGAGCCAGAGTGACGTCACACTTAGGAAAGACAAACAAACAGGTTGCTACAGCAGTTGCGTGACTATTTTTTTTACGATAGAGAACAGTTTGATTCCCATTACAAGTGCAAAATGTCCGATGGTAATATACAATACCTTTTCCCACTGTAGTTTGGGATCTTCCTGAGAGTTGTCCAACGAATAGTTACCTCAGTCTGCCTAACAACAAAACGTACGTGTCGCCATCCGACGAGAGCGTACTCTACTCCACGGCCCAGACAAGGTGTGCCGCGGTGGGAGGAATGGTCGCCGTGCCGCGGGACTCAAACGAGCAGGAGTATCTTGTGTTTTTCAAGAACTGTCTAGACGCGTAAGTATAGTGTTTTCTATATATATATA